GAGCAAAGGGAGGGGCAGGGGGTAATAGGGGAGCAAGGGGAGGGACGGGGGAAGCAGGTGACAATGGGGAGGGGCAGCGGTAAAGGGGAGCAAAGGGAGAGGCAGAGAGTAACAGAGGAGCAGGAAGGGGGGGTGACAATGGAGACGGGGAGGGGCAGTAGGTGGCAGGGGGCAAAGGGCAGTTGAAGAGGAGGGCAGGACGGGAAGGCAGCCAGAGTGGGACAAAAACACTCGGAGGACAGGGGAGAGCGGGAAGGGGTGAGCGGCACAAGGGGAGCACGCAGCTCCCGAGGCGGCTGCAGCTTGCTCCGGCGGACTTAGTCCAGCTCCACCTCGGAGCGGAAGAGCCTTGCCGGTCGGCCGGCAGGTGCCGGGACCGCCGTCTTGCCCTCGGTCCGTCCCCAACTGTCCCCGGCGCTGCCGTCGCCGCCCCCTCGCCCTCCCACCTCCGCGCTGGGGGCCGCGGCCGCTCCCGGGCTCGGGGGCCGCGGCTCCTGGGACTCACCCAGACTCCGGGGCGGGGCGCAGGAGCAGCCCATCGGGCTCCAGGCGGGAGGCGGCGGCGGCGGCGGCGGCAGGAGCGGCCGCCGCTCGCTGATGACGCAGCGGAGAGCGGCCCCCGGGGCCCGGCGCGGGTGGATGACGCCACAGCCGTGCGGGCAGCGCGACGTCCGGAGCGGCGCCGAGGCGGAGGGTTCGGAGGCGGCAGCGGGGGCCGAAGCGTGGCCGGACGGGGCATCATGGCGTCCGTGGCGCTGAGCGAGGCGGAAAAGGTTTACATCGTGCACGGCGTGCAGGTAACGAGCGAGGAGACGAGGCGAGGCCGGGACTCCCTCCCGCCGCGGCTGCGGCCCCGGCGCGCTCGCCTCAGCCTTCCCAGACGCCCCCAATGCGCGTGCGCCCCTGCTTTCGCCCGTTCACCGGCTCTGCGCGCGCACTTGGGGGCTGGGGATTGGGGGCAACGCTTAGAGATCTTCGACTCTAGAGCTGGAGGGGAGGGACCTCTCAGCCTCCTCTTTCTTTCCGGTGGGGAAACTGAGACCTCAGGAGGAGGTTAAGCGGCTGGCCCCAGGCCCCAGAGAGTTAATTAAGCTCCTAGGACTGGGGCGAGTCTCCAGCGAGATGATGTTTGTAAAGCTCGTCGTGAACGTCAGGAGGTGTTCGTGTTACCCAGAGTCCTTCAGGCAGCAGAGAATTGGAACCCAGGTCCTCTGCCTCTGGGTCAGATAAGATGTGTTTGTCTCTTAAGCTCTTCCCCTGGCCCTGGGCTCCGCTTCCGAGGTGAACCCAGCTCTTGGCAGGCAATCTAATGAAACAGTGTAGCTGGGCAGGTATCTTGAGGTTACATTGTAGCTGGGCGGGAAGTCGGGGTCCGGAGCTGGCGCTTTCCCTGGTTCCTTAGAGCTGTGGTTTTTACTCCAGGCGAAGAGACCACAGAGCACCTTTCTTTAGCCCTAGAGGTTGCCTCGGTTAGCATCTGTCATCAGTAGTACCCATAGATTTCCCAGATTTAAGGGCTGAAGGAACCGCAGAGGCGCCTGTTAGAAGTAGGGGAGGAAATTTAGGCCCAGAAAAGGAAAATAATGTCTTCTTAGTCATTCCTGCCTGTTTACCGATAGAAGATGATGTACTCTGTCAAATTGCTTTGAAAATTTACAATTCCATAAGTGGGTGAGGTGCTGTTGTGAAAAAGATTTCAAAGTTGGTATTGTTGCTTTGGAAGCTAAGAGAAGTGGCTATTACCCCCAGGGTTTGGCGATATGTGTACCAGAAGGTGTTGGGATGGTTTATTTGGCCTGAACGTAGGCAATCAACCTGTGAAAGAGACATCCCTTCCCCTGCCCCCCAACGCAGAAAACAACAGCAGAATATTGACCTTCCTCTGCTGTCATAGTTCTTGATCCTCACTCTCCCAGGTAGTCCATTAGAGTTGTGGACACTGCCACACTCCATTGCCTCCTTCCCTCTCTATTCCCCTTCCTTTACCCTCTTCAATATAATCACATTTAAAGCTGTCCAAAGTGGTTTCAGATGCCTGCCCGACTCATTATGTTTTATTGGCTAGGATCATTAGTACTCTCTGCTGTAGATTAATGCAGATTTGCTTTTCAATTGTTCCTCTCTGTCATCTGCATTATCACCGTTTTATAGCTGAGGAAACTGAAGTACACAGTAGCAATTTACCCACTGGTTGAATTTTGAGCCTGCGGGTAATAGAAAGAGCTCTTCATTCCATCTTTTTAATCTCTAGTTTATCCAACTGAACCCCGTGCAGTCTCCCTGGAAAGCTGGGGAAGTAGAAAGGAGACTTGTTAATAAAGCTTCACTAAACAAATCACCTGGGTCTTCCAAGGGAAGGAACCTTTTGCGTGAGCCACGTTTAGTCACTTGACTTGCTCCACAAAAGGATGCTTTTCACTACTATAGGTCTGGTTGGGTGTATCTGGGATTCTGTCTATTTATTTTGCCTCTTATTTCTTTTCTTCATTTCATCACCACCACCACAGGAGTTTAGTCATCTTGGGTCAGATATCCATTCTACATTTCAGTATTTTGTCTCTGGCAGTGTTAACCGAAGCATGGGGTGTTTTAAAAAAAAAAGTTTGTTAATCCACCATGGTTTATCCTTTGCTCATTCTCTCTAGTCAAGACAAAAACATGTCCCC